ATAGATGTCTCCTCTAGTTCTGTGACAAGAGTACACAAAATGCACTACTATTCTTGCCACGAGGAAACAAGAACAGCGTGATTCAGATGCTGCATCCTGAGGGACACAGGTTAATACATTGGTCTGTGGAGAGTTTCTGTTGTATTCTATAAAAAGCGGTAACTAACAGCTTTGTGTGTCACTCTGACTTAGCCTTGTGAGAGGAACTCTGTCATCAATAATTAACTCAGTGGAACTCCGTTGAAATGGGTAATAAACTCTCTGCATGCATTTGAATTATTTATGTTATACGATATTGATCTCAAAAACTGACGTTAATTGTCATGCGAAGAAAAAAATAAGGTGGTTAGCTTAGCATTTCAAAGCATGCCCAAATATTTATGCAAATGTATGTATATGTGTGTGTGTGTGTGTGTGTGTGTGTGTGTGTGTGTGTGTGTGTGTGCATGGCCTGTGTGCGAACCCGGGCGAGCCGCCATGAGCACATGTGTGAGCCGGTGGGCACATTAAGCTGTTACATTGAGAAAAATGTCCTACAATCGTTCAAAACGTGTAATGGAAGAAATGTTTCTTGCGTGATGGCAGCACTGTGTGAGGGGGGCGGGGGAGGCGGTGGGGGGGGCTCCAAGGTCACATGACTCTCCAAAGTCACTTAGCGTAATTCAGCACATACATCAGATGAGACTGAGAAATGATAATTGAAGGTGACCTCAATTTAAGAACACAGCAGTTTGCAGGCCATTGACTCTCATGAAGAGGGAGAATATTTCGCTCTGTCTTCCGAAAAGATGGAGAATATCTGCTCGGGGGGGAACAAGAGCGCAAGCATGTGTGAGAGGGTAAGTGTAATGATTGTGAGTATTATGACCTGTGCTGCCTGTTCTGGGATATATGAGGAATAGGTCATCTACCCCCCCTCTAGCTGTCTCTCTGCCTCTCCTCTCGGTTTCATTTCACCTCTCTCCTCTTCACCCTTTCCTTAATCTAGCAACAATCAGTCTTTCCCCATTCAGTCATCACCTCCACCTCCCCTGTCCTCGTTCTTTCTCCCCGCTCAGCCACAACCCTTTTTTTTATTATTGCTAGTTCTAAAGTATAAATCAAATCAGACATTTTTTCCTCTCTCAAGGCATTTAAGATGTCGCAGATAACTAACAAAGCAATTACACAAGGCAGAGTTGTCGCCTCTATATAAGAGTGGTGGAGCCTAGGATGCCCGTAAACGTATCGCGATATCGAGATATATAGGATTCCATGCACAGCCCCTCAAGGTAATGGAGCAGAGAGCCAATTCTACCACAGTGTCACATTAATAATCGTGATGATCTGAGGTGGTTGCTATTATCATTATCACTAGACAACTGTATACATATCTGAGAAGTGTGTTGGGGATAAATATCATTACAAAGGAATGTGGATAGAAAAGCCGACATTCATAAAATGGCAGGCAGCGTAAGGGAAGGATGCTAGAGGAGAGCAAGAGGGGAGGGAGTTAGGGGGAGATAGAGAGAGAGTGAGTGATGTCCTCAGAAGAATTACTTAATTAGGGTAAGACAGGGAAAGGAAAAAAAGACTGGACATTGAGTCATTGCTCTCAGCAGGGACGAGAAAGAAGGCTGAGTGGGAAGACACACCGGTGAGGACGGATAGGAGAGAAAGATCGGGTTAAGTGGTATTCTCAACAGAGAATAGCGTTAATGCCCTAATTAAGCCTTTACATAGCGTTGATGACGTCAGATACACACACACTTTATATCTCAAAACACCGGTCGTTGCACTAATGTGGGGCCCCGCGGGGGCCCGTTGTGCATAATTCAGAATCTTTTTGCAGGCACTGTATGCGTCTCCTATTACTATGGAAAATACATGGGTTTGCCTCCATTATCCATTTTCTTTTACAAACATGTCAATGTCATGAGAGCAGTTGGGTTCAAGAGAAATACATTTGCCTTCATATGGTATGAAAGGTTCCCGACATGGTGTGGGCAGTGAGAGGTTTGTAAAAAAGATAAAACAATGTTTATTTAATTTGGTTCAAGAATTGGATCTTGTGGGGAAGTTCATTTTCAGTGTCCCCGACTATTTAGACGCATCTTTAAAAAAGGGTAAAGTCTTAAAAGAAGGTTAGTGGAAGGTTTGCAAATGGGAGGAAATATTTAGAAGATCGTAACATGATAACGTGTTGTAACCCTGAAGAGAGCATTTATATGACTGGACATATCCAAGATAATTCCTACGAGGAAATAAAAGAAGAAGTTGATACAGTAGCTTTGAAGCGATTACGTCTTCTCTTTACGTTGTGTTTGCTCCCCGATCTATCAAATTTATGAACTTTGCCTGTGAAAATGTTGAAAAAACAGTTCTGAATGTCCTTTCTTTAATTGGCTAATGTCCATATGCACGTATTAACATTTCTAAAATGTCAAACTGAAATGAAAAATATAATTGGCTCTTTCTGACAGCTTCCATGTCCGTTACCTATGTCACGAAAATCCCCAGCTTCCAACCATTTTATAACACTAAAGTCAATGCTGCTGCTCCGAGCTGAATCTAAAGCAGTAATAGTTAATCAAATATTCGGTGATACTCCAGGCCTAATATGCTTTTATCTATTTAGGATGTTGGCCAATGTGTAGAGGCAACCCCGAGCACCATATTATCCATATGTACTAGTATTACTGCAACTGTGCAGAAGCATATGGCCGATAATAATGAAAGACATTATAATACAAGCCAATCACCTTGACGGTGGTGACTCCTACAGCACAGTTAACCTGGGAGTTAAGTATTGTCACTCATGCCATCATTACGGAAGGGAAGACGTTAACCTGGGGTGAGAGAGACCGCTTGCTTTACGCGGTAATCAATTTACATTGAGGAACGAAAGAAGAAATGATTCTCATAGCAGAACACAGATTGTGGAATGCTTGAACAGGGGTTTTATGTTCTACTACTTTCTACCCTGGGGTTTTAATTTCCTTTTACTGTTTCCTTTCAATTTTAAATTCTGGGTGAGGTAGGACTTTGTGTTGGAAGCAGAGCGGTATGAGACATTTTCAATAACCTTTACCCTGGTCTATCGTATATCTGCCATGCTTTTATTGCAGGTCACATGCTGTGGATGAAAACCATTTAGAAGGCTACATCTTTCGGAAAGACACGGTTCAGTTACTAGATAGTGTTAATATGAAGGCACCAGGAGAGGAATATTTGCCTCTCCTTATTCATTTGATTCCATTCATGGATTGAATTTGAAACACAATGACAAACCGACAAATGATCAGAGTATTGGGGGAGACTGTGGCAGGTTATACTGTATTCCGGGTGCTCAGAAGTAATTTAGCTCTCTGATTTGGGAAACGTAGATGTAATTATGCTGTGCTTTAAAGATTAACTGGGTCTGCTAGGGCATGCTGCATTATGTTGGTGTCTCACCACATTATCCAATATTAAAGGTCACTATCTCAACTGTTATCTGTTAGGATATCCCTCCAATATGGATGACACACCCGGTGTGTGTGTGTGTGTGTGTGTGTGTGTGTGTGTGTGTGTGTGTGTGTGTGTGTGTGTGTGTGTGTGTGCTTGTGTTTCACATCTCTCTCTCTTTCTTAATGTCTTTAATACCTCGCCAGTCTTCGTCTCATATGTTTACCAGACTGTTTTCATACCGAGGTAAGATCTGCTTACGTCGAGTACCCAGTGATGTGTGTAGGCCCTTTTCGAATTGCAGTGCATCAGGAATGTTTAAAAAACTAGAACTGTGTACGATTCTTACTAAAAATACACTTTAGAAGTTCTGATCTGTGTTGTATGTTAGGCCATTTTTTGTAGAATATATAAATGATGATAAGATGAAAACAGATATGCTACTAGTTGTACTTGTTGAATAGTTCAATGACAGACAAAAAATAAATACAACCCATATTTTTAAGTTTTTTCTCACTTATTCATCAAAGTGTCCCTGCTCTTACAGTTCTGTCGTTGTCTTCCACGTGCTATCTTTGTCCATACATCATTCTGTCTCACTCTCTTTGCGCCTATTGATTTTTCTCTCAAAATGAAAGTGTAACTAATGCTCTGGTGGGAGCTTCAATGATCACTGGGTTCCGCACTCCAAGTGTGTGTTTCTCTTATTTGCATGAGGATCTGTTTTAGAGACATTGGTAGTGTACTTAAGTTGAACTTTTTTTCTGACCGATCGCCGACCCTCGCATACCAATCATTGGCAGTTCATTGGTAAAACCATGGGTTAGAAAGTTGCTTCGCATAAAAACGTCAGTTGCATGCAATGTAACAAAGTTATTGCTTTGCATGCATGGGTGCTGTGGATGAAGAGCTTGGATCGCCACACAGCTGCAATGCTGCACTGAAAACAAAAGGGTTGAACCCTTCATTCACTGTAAGCTGCAGGTGCAGCTATTTGAATGTTTATTTTAACTATTCAATTTATTATTCAAATTATTTACATCACTATGGAACTTTTTTTTTTTAACAGTTGGATGAAAAAATAAATAAATTTGTCAAGATGACAAATAAAAGTGCAAAAGGATTTAACACACACAAAAAAATGCACCTAAATATAAAAGGAAATTCCTAAAGACCTAATAGGCAATGTAATTGTTGATGGTTGTCATCCTTAAACCAGACGTAAATGTACAAGACAAACCTCAAGTTAGTTGAAGGTAGCACATCCTACAGAGCCACAAGGCCATACAAGCACCACACAACCAGTGTGCAGCTCCACAACGTATCTCACCACTCAAAACACCCTTTGGCTAAAAATGGAAACACTGTTTTCGGTTTTGGCAATCATACACCAACGCAGTCCACTTTTGAATGTTAATGTAGAGTCTACAGAAAGGAATCTGCAGGACGGCCACGAGCAAAGAGATGGCTAAATGACTACGAGATGAAAATAATCCGCTGTGCGGTGAAATTATGCAATTCCACCTCACAAGATGGAACAAAAATGATTCCGGGGTTCAGTTCCAGCTACTTACCCTACTGACTCCTCGGCCCCTGTCCTCTCCATAATTTGTTCCCAGGATTTCAAAGAAGATGTTGGGGTTGGTGCCGTTGTCAGTGAACTCCAGAAAACTGGTTAGGCCGCTGACTCCAAACTGTGAGGACAAGACAAAATGCTGTTGTTTGACTGGGTATTTATTTTCACTATAACTGTAGTTGAGTAAAATTCATCGTTTGATTGTGGTCATCAGAATTGTGGTCATAATCTTTGTCCCCATAATCATGTCAGATCTCGTCAATAGTGCGATATTCTTTTGGATTTAATAGACCTCATCAATAATTCTCCCTGGCGAATGTGACATTAAATAAGGTTTTTATCCTTGCTAAAGATCAGATATTATGGCTGCTCACAGTGAAGCAGCGACATGAATCTTCAGCCTGGCTCTAATGGAATGATTATATCTCATGGCTAAGTACATGCACGGAATAGCTAAATGTTATGGTCGCCGTATTACACAGAAATATGTTACATTTTGTATTGTGTGCATCCTTTTTGCTTGTAGACGATCCCACTCAAGATTTACACAAATTGTAATAAGTACCTGGCTGACGGAATGCAATTGTAAATGGATTTTGCAGTAGAGATGTACAATGCTGTCTTATGTGGAGAGGTAGATTTATTTCCAGGCTTACACACACACACACACACACACACACACACACACACCCACATGGTGTCAGTCCCCGACCTTTGCTCCACCTGCTGTTGTGACCTGTCAGGGAAAGTAAAACTCAGGCTCAGGGAGGGCCAGGTGTTCTACTACTTCATATGATTCCTGCTGTGTGTGTCGGCGTGTCTCTGAGTGTGTGTGTGTGTGTGTGTCTAGGTATTGTTGGTCCTCTGTGTACAAAACATGGATTGCACGCAGTGATTTTGGCCGTGGTGCAAGCATGCATGCAAACATGTATGTCTATGTCTCTCTCTATATATATATATATATATATATATATATATATATATTCTAGTGTGCACTGTGGTGATCACGGGTTGATCGCGGCAACTGGTGCCACTAAACCAAACCCCATTTAAGCGGCAGGCTCACACCAAACAAGAGGGCGAGTGAGACAGATGTATCTTAACCCCTCTTGGTCTGTCTTCAGAGACCAGTGCCTGACGCCCAGCCCGCACGACGCCGGGTTCATCGTTGACTCCAGGGCCCACCCGGCGAGAGGAGCACTACCGTCCACCGTGTTGGTATTGAAGGAATGTCAATAAACCCTGTGAGGGAACTAATTACACTCTCCGTGTGGTAGCGTCCTGACTCCTCTCCCCCCAAATAGCTGATTATTTTATTTCTTTAAACTAGGTAAGGGGTGAAACCCTCTCGGATGCATTAAAAATAATACATTCAGAAATTGTCTTTAAGTTGCTCCACGTTCAAAGAACGTGCCACTGGGGCTCAGAAGACTGAATACAAATGAAAAAGGAAAAAATATGTTTTTTCTTGAGCAAAGGTGCACATGTTTTTTTGATAATAAAAGCAACAATGGATATGAAAGAGAAATTAAGGTAAGGTAAGTAAATATTCTCAAATCCTAAACTGGGACTTTGCTCTTTTCTGGAGGTCTTGTCTGTCTGGACATTTAAAACCCCACGTATGAATACGTATCTATGTGGTCTGCAACTTGTTCTCTATGTCTATGTCGTATGCAAACAGCTCAAACACAGCTCACTATTTAGGCTCTGCCGATGAGTATAAAAGCAGCATTTTCCACCGTCTGAATTTGTCAATTAACCAAAAACAACATATTTCCTCATCAACTGCTGCAAATGAGCATTTGTCATTACCGCAATGGCCCCAAATACCAAAACGCTGATTAAACACACAGGCTGACACACTGTAGAATGGAACTGATGCCAGGCTGCTGAACTCAACTCTATTACTGCTCGGGGCTCTTTGACGCAGCTCTGTTAAGACAGACATCAGGGTCGGTTTAACAGCCAGAGCTGATGATGAAAGTGTTGCCAAACCCCAGTCTGATCTCAAGGTGAAATGCACAGATAGATATGAAAGCCGTTGTGCCACATTTATTATTGTCTGGCGCTAATCCTAAATTAGCATTTCACTTGGCTTCATCATTCAGTCAAACCTTCATCCCTGGAGTGTGATCAAAATATCAAAACAGAGGGAATTGATCCAATTGGAATTAGCAGTCATTTATAAAATCACAGCTGCAGGACTTCATCTTTCAAAAGACAATGACACTGCATTTAAAATTGACTGCAGCTGGAGGATTTAACTAGAGTGCATCCACGTTGTCGTGAATTGCAAATACGTGCTGCCTTCATTCTTTTTTTTTTAACTTCAGGACGAGCACAACATTGCGCTTTTTCAACTGTAGTAATAAAGGCTCAATTTTTTTCTGAGCCGTAAAACCTCCTTAATTTCTTATTATTTTTAAACATGGGAGCCATTTTCAATCTGGCACTAACACACCTACAACCATCGCGAGGCTGGTGAAACAGATAGACGGTCCACAACCTGAGAGTCTGATTACTTTGGGTGATTGAGATATAAACACCCACTACTAAGGAAATTGGATTGGATTTAACTGTTGGTTGCATAGTGTAAAGCTGATAGCTTATACTGTTTTTTTGTTTTTTTAAGAGACTCAACAACACGCATTTTGTGCAGTAGTTTCAGTAGTCCAGTAGTTTTTTAAATAAAAAATGAATATTCATTTTTTTGCAACAGAGTATCGGAATCTGAGTTCATTTTTTTCAATCTAAGGTTATTATGGAAGATATTATAGATTTCTGTTTCCCAGTGCTCCATTCCTTCATACGTCATGCCTTTGAATCTCTGTCCATGATCAAACTGGGGCGATCCACAAGTTTTAATATGACAAAATAAAACAACTGACAACTGAGCTCAACTTTTAGTTCAGAAAGCTTCAGGCGGGTGTGCCAGAGCCACCCAGTATCCATTATTTCGCTGCTACTGCAGCTCAATTCCTTTGCGGCACGACTAATGTGTGTACTTCGGCCTGCATCTCCGTACCTTCTTGACAGTGTCCAACATGCTCTTGCCTCCCTGCCAGGGTTTGGAGTTCTTCCTGATGCAGCTCAGACTGGCCATGCTGTGCCACTTCCTATCCTCCAGCTTTCTGTGGAAGGTGTTGGCCAGCAGCAACACGGAATCATAGATGTAGCGGTTGCTGATCTGAAGAGGAATAAATGACAGAAGGCACACAAGAAAGAAAAGTGAGATGATGCGATGAATACAGATATCTGACTTTATCTCAATTATGCTGTTAGGGGAAGATGCTTACTGTACTACAACATAACAACAAGATGATTTCAGTGGTGAGATCAAAAATGCTGCATATAGTATGTTTCCTGCCCCCTACTATTATCATTTCACCTGAAACACTGCTCTCTTTTAGTGCAAATTTACACATTTGTGCTCACACGTAAAAGCACACGTTCGTACGGAAGAAAAACGCCTGAAGGATGACATTAATTAAAACGTACTGACAGATCCTTGGCACCACATAATTAGATTGAGACGGGTGGGGGATAAGGACTAGAGCTTATTTGGTCCGTGTCTATGGTTATGTGATTTACAGAGCCTCCTGTCTCTGTGTTAAAGAGAACATAACCTACGCATGACTCTAGGCACACACACACACACACACACACACACACACACACACACACACACACACACACACACACACAATTAGACATGGAGGTGATGGCCATCCAATTAGGTTAAAGCTAGGGTTAGTAATGTTGATAAACTACTACTGTTGACTAACTATGAGAACACTAGATTTAAAAGCCTTTTTCAATGAAAGTAGCTTGCAAATAGCTCTGAAAATTTCTAAATCTAGCTGACAGCCAGTACCTTTAGAATTTTTTTTAATGAATCTAAACTGGACTACCGTCAAAATCAAATCATACAGAAACCTCGTTATGAACTAAACGTCACTTAAGCCTTTGGTTTGTCAACTGCTTTGCTACGTTTATTGTGGCCTTCCATTGCAGGTTACTGGAAACAGTAGTAAACCACGAGGATGTAATACAGCGAATAAAAGGTGGAAAACTAGTGTTGGGTTTAAGGTTGTGTGATTTCATCCACATAAATTGGGTTATTAAAGGTTATTAGAGGAGACAGCTTTCAGGGTTTGGGACTCACATGCCCCATATAGTTATGTTGGTGTTCTCTGGGAACAGAACCGGTAGAAAGTCTGAGCCGATGGGGAGAACGATGATAAGCATTATGGAAACCTATGGAGAATTAGTCACACATCCTGCTGACTTGTGTAGGTCGTAGAGAGGCAACACTATTCAAATTGTACCAATGAATATTCTCCCTAGTAACTTTATCAATGGAAAACTTTGTGGCCTGTAATGAAGAAGAGATGAAGACTCAAACCGCTGAATACATTCGGGCCAAAAACAATAATTCAGTGCACGTGCAGCACCCTCAACTCTGTCTGAGCAGTGTTTTGTTTGTTCACTCGATCACTCTGCTTCAAGAATGCTTATCTTAAATGTGGTCCTGTCAAGTGACGAGAAAATATATGCTCCTTGTTACTTATCAAACAGTTAACTGACACAGAAACAAAAGGAAACCCATAGAGCCGTGTTAATCTTATACCTTTTCTCTCACTTTGTTATCAAAGTGTCCCTTAGATCTCTCAGTTTTGTGGTAGTCTTCCACCTGCTATCTTTGTTCATCTATCATTCAGTTTCACTCTCTCTGTGCCTATTGCTTTCTCTCAGAAAATTAAAGTGAGTCTACGGCTCTAAGGGGAGCTTCAACGATCACTGGGTTCTGCACTCAGTGTGTGTGTGTGTGTGTGTGTGTGTGTGTGTGTGTGTGTGTGTGGTCAGCCTGAGTTGATGTGCTTCAGTGCAGTGTGAAATTGGGCTTCTGGGCCACTCTCTGACCGCTGAGCTGATCCGCTTCCCCTGTCTTCTCTTTCTCTCCCATCCCTCGTTTCCTCTTCCTCTCAAATTTAAACACCCACCAGCACACCCACGCACGCATACGCACAGGATGTCAAAGTGAACACGTGCACGTTTTTTTTTTCCATGGTGCATGAACAGTGTTTTTGTCCTCGCTTGCAACAACACATTGTCCTTGAATGAAAGGTGTTGCACTCACATGCACACGCATAGCTCGACGCATGCACACCCTTGGCCCTCCGCAGTGGAAGGAACAAATACGGAAGCACTCTACATAAGAAATAATCAGTTTTTTACATTTGAGAAGCACTCGATTCATATTAGAAGCTGTATTTACATACATTATCCAATGCTTTGGGCCTCCAGGAGTTAACAAGGGATTATGTTGTATGGAGAGGCTCAAACTAAGTAGTGGCTTTAATCAACCTTTCAAAAACACATGTATTAAGCTGGTTTCTCTCCTTCCGGGCATTTTTTTTGTTTTTGTTTTTTACTTAAATTGTATTTGATAAAGAAAAAATCAGTTGAAAAGCCTCGGATGGCTCTGTCTTTGGGTTAGAAGGGAGATATCCAAATAAACATTATGGCCATGTTTCTGTTTTTAATGCATTTCAAACTTTCATCAAATGTGTTCCCCCAAGGCCTTCACATCCACATAAATCAACAGCACATTAATTCAATTCAACTTTTTTTTTTGTCTTGACACATGAGTAAGATTGTGTTCCATTTTCTCCGCTGATGGCAGCTTGATGACTCACATACACACAGAAAGGGCTGATAATTGCATACATATTGCCACCCTGAGGGACAGGTTAGTGAAGTAAAGAAATTTGTGGAAGCCTTAAGGGGAAAAAAAACAAACTGTCACCGTGATTGTCGGATGAATAGTGTGTTCTGAGTAAAACAAATATACGCGCGTGTGTGTCAGATTTTTAAAAAATGAATATTGTCGCTGGTAGAAAACCTCGCAGGCATGAGATGTAACAATGTCAAATTGTTACAGCCGTGTGCGCTGGGAAGCTTTTCGGAACAGGAGATATGTTGAAATGTCAAACCACAAGACTGTGGAGCCATTTTTAAAAAGACAACATGGAGTTCCAGAGCCGCTTTCTATACACATCACTAGCAGCTTTGGCTTTTTGGCCATCATTGATATATTGACTAAAGCCTACTTAATGCTTCTGCATTTTCAGAGCCCCTTGCGTGTCCCTTGCGTCGCTTTTCACACCTCCTTGCGTCCTTGCGTGTGTCGAGCCATTCTTCTAGCGTCCCGCAGCGCACCGGGCTGCGGTTGGTCCGCTGACTACATCCTTTACGGAGTCTCACATTTCCGCTTTCATAGCCCGGTACCGCCATTATAGAAACGAAGAATGTTTACGAGAGAACGGATCAGATTAAAAAACTTTTGTCGGAAGAAATGCGTAAATATGACCGCTTATACACGCCGTCATTGGAGTGTTGTAGAAGCGGGTTGGATTCACGGAAGGAGATCGCCGCAAACGCCGGTTTGCCGGTCGAGAGTTGTGGAGGAAAATACGGAACAAATGTGTCCGCGATGAAAAGCAGCAGTGGCGATGCACGGGACAATAAAGTGTATGATAAATATCTAAACAAATAAATAAGTAGACGTGACTCTCTAGGTCGTCTTCAACAAAAACACGTTACTCCGCCTGTAGTTCTGGTGGTGAATTGCTCTGCAACACACGCAGAACCATGAATTGAAACGAGTGCGTCGAAACAACGACGCAGACGCAGAAGCATGCGCCAGCCTTAAAGCTTTATTGGGGGCATGTGAGCATCTTTTCAACATTCCCAACCACCTTTTATTCCTGGAAGATTATCAAACGATTATCACAATTATCATGCAAATATTTCCATTCAGCTTTCTTCAACAATACTTCTAAAATAGTCTTCTTTTAATTTAACAAAAATATCAATCTTCTAAGGTAATAAATACTTCTCTACAAACATATCAACGAACCAGACCAACTCACCTCCAGTTGCTGAGCTTTGGGGTTTTTAAGGTCACACAGGGACGTGTTAATCCTGTGGTTGTGTTTGACACAGCGCTGAGTTGTGTTCTGAGGCATGGGGAACGTCTGGCGCACCAGCGTCAACCGACCGATCGACTTCATGACTAACTCCTGCAAGTCGTAGTCTGAGATCTCCTGTAGGGTGGACAGAGGAGGAGGAGGAGGGCAGTGGGGATCGGATGGGGAATGATCAGTGTTCACAAAAGAGGTGAAAGAGAAGAATCAATATCAACAGCTCCATCACATCAGTTGTTGTTGCAGGACACTTACAACCAACATTTTACCTCGCTGTCAAACTTGATGTTTTTCATGCATTCGATATATTTCAAGTGGTTTAGGTTTTATTTCATATGCTGTACTTTTCCCATCATCGCCTCACTGAATAGTGAAAAACATTTACTATCTCATCAGCAAAACATGGGATGGGAAAGAGAAAAGTAAAAGCAGGTGTATGTGTGTTGTGTGCATGTATGTGTGTGTGCACATACTCTGCATGTCCTTGGGGGAGGAATCATTGCTAATTTTAGCCCTAGGACAAAATCTCTCTTCGTCTCTCTCAATCCATGGATCTCTGTTTATCCTCTGCGATTGTATAGGGTCATGTGATGAGATCCCTTGTGCCACCAGTCTTTGTGTCTTTGTGTATGCAGTGGGTATCTTTGTCTGCATGTGCGAGCGCAGTGTATGTGTATATTTTGTGTACGTTTTCAGGAGATCTGATTCCGCCGAACCCTCTGGATTCTGTTTAATTTGTGCAACATACATAAATAAGCCCTCACACACTTTATAGTCTTGAGGGGTAATGCTATAGGTACCACCGGTTCATTGACTTTTTTCCATGGATTTCATTTTAATGTAATTAATGTTCGTTAAGTGAGTCCTCATGGGATGTGATCAATGGTGATTAGAGGTGGTATTATACAGGCTTCATTGGTATAGCTGCACTCTCCAGCATTAATCATGCTGAAATATGGCTCTCGCTCTGAGAACATACGCATTTGCTCTGGAAACCAGCTGTTGATATACAAATATTTAGAGATAAGTATGTGACATTTGAGACTCAACGGAGCATACAGACACTTTTTTCCCCGCTGCTTTCAAATTTAACATTTTCTTGAAATGCAAATGTAAACTGAGGTTTCTGCTATTAAATTTAATCATATAAAACAGGTGATAGCAGAAGAAAAGGATATTTATGCCTTGAAGAAGAAAATAAATTATGTATTTGCTGGACTTTGGGGTAAAACGTGGCAGAAATCCCAAACAGTTGCTTACATGAACGCTGCAGGGAACTGAATTACAAAAAAAAGACATAGGACAGAGCGAAAACCTGAAAATTGCTAAAAACGCAGATCTGTCGGCCAAAAGAGAATTAGAATTCACAGCGGGCACTGAAGGGTGTGCAAAGGGTAGTGCCCTATCCAAAGGATCAAACTCAAACAGACGTAGATGCGCCCGCACACAGATGCGCTGAAACTTTAAAGGAAAAGATCATTATGAGATTTGTCCTCTCAACTGCCGATTGTGTGTCTTCCTTCTTTTGTCACATCCTGTTTGCCTCTTCTTCTCTGTCTCTGTGGGGACAAACTGGGGACAGAATTCACCCAGTGTGACTTTCAGTGATGCCTCTTAAAGCTCTGAGCCATTTAACGGCTGAGGGTAAATAAATGTGACACGCATACAAACACACACGTGCGGTGACATGACCACACATATCAAGTCTCACAAGCTCTTAAGCTGACACTTAACTCTTATTATGAATCTGCTCCTTTTTCATGTCATAACCCATAATTCTCTTCATGCCACTCATTGTCAACCCCTCATGGTCAACAACAATAATAATAATAATAATATAAGATGTGAAACACGTGTGCTGTCTGCTTCAGTTTGGTTTGGTACAATCTGGACCAAATATTAAAATCAAAATATTTCACCATTTAAACAGGCATGGGATAATTACAGCTGATTGACTTATTAACAGCTTGAGAAAATCCATAATCAACACAAATCACCACATCTGTCTGGTTTTCATATCAATCATTAAGTCCCAATAAGCGTTTGTGCAAAAGTAACACTCATTTTAATCCTTCTCATCATCAAACCCCCTACCTGGTGTAATGCTGGTGGGGGCGGGGAGGGGGTGTGGGGGTGTGGGGGGGGGTTTTGGGGCTCCCTAATGTGTGCAACTAGTCCCACTACATGTAACAAGAGACTGTAGGTAAGTAGTAAACCCCCCAATCCCCCCACTGGCTCATATATAGAGTGACTCATGAGTTGTTTACTCATAAACTTGAAGTTTTGGTCTGCAGGCCCCCCCATCAACCTCAAGCCATCACCTCCCTCTTTGTTATCCCCCCCCCCCAGGGCAAATCTTTGTCTTTAGTGTTTTACTTGAAGATGAGAGTCAAAAGCAAAAACACATCCCTCATGCTCAATTGGTCTTGGCACTTCTTGCCTGGCCCGCGTACTTTGTTCTCTGCTCTTTCTACCCCCCCGCATCTTCCGCCCCCCCTGGAGACACTAAATCCTGCCCTTTCTCTTCTTACAGTATCAATGGATGTGGGTGAAAAAAAGGAGTTTTTCTTTTCCAACCCTTTCTGCTCCTCCTGTTCCTTATTTCTTACCGGTTCTGCACTTTGTTCTTAGAACCCACACCCTCTGATTTGCTTGTATCAAGAGGTTCAAAGTTGTTCAAAACAAACATGAAAAAGGCATATTGTTTACTCTCCTAAACATTTGATGAGTTTCCACGAATGCCTCCGATGCTTCTTTGTCTCCTTTGCTGAGCTTCCCCACACAGAGCATCTATTCAGCCAATAGATGAACACCCTCCCTCTGCCGATCGTGCATTATCTTCACATCGAGTGCCTGTTTGACAGTTATAGTGCAGGGAGACTCAGATCTTTTTTGTCATTTCTAAAACTTATTTGTTAAATTACTCACTGACACAGGTGCGTGCAGTGAGAAAGTAACGTGGAGATGGATTACAGAGCTAAGTATAAAACACTAAATACATCTTCTATCCTGTCTAATCTTTAAAAACTGTGATTCCAAACTTTTTTGATTCAGATGCCGAGACCATGCAGGGACATCTGGATAGGAGTAGTGTCACATTCGCTGTCAACAAGATAAAAAAAACATCCAACAGCTGCAGGAGAGCCGCTTAGTAGCAGCAGTCTTAGATGGCTGCAGTCGTACTGGGGAACGTCCAGCTGTGGAAAGAGTGTTAGCTCACTCCCTGTCCCTGTGCAAGCGTTGGAGCTGTAAATATGAATGCTTTTTTTTACTCTAGCTAACTGCAGGCTATAATTACTTTAATGTTGATCCTTTGGTACGTTTTTAAGTAGTGACTGACCACTGTTCGCTTGTGGAGATGGTACGAAGGGTTTTTGTTGCAATCTCTTAACAAAAGATTTACAGAAATGTGATGCTTCAATCATATTCAAAGCATGAACATCCTCAAAATTTCAGTTACATGCCTTAGCATATCATGGACTGATATGCTAAGAGCTAAAATGACAGAAAAGGCCTAATCTTGATTCATCTCATTGCCATGCACTTACTCCCCTGAGAGACAAACAGGCATAAATGAGAGAAAGAGAATAATGAAGCAAACTGTTTGGACGGCAATAGAAATGATATTATGAGAGAAGACGAAAAGACCATGAAGACGTTGAGAACCAGTGAGGTCACTAATGGAGTTATCCTCCAAACTCAAGAGAAAGAGAAAAAAAAAGAAACGCCACGAGTGTCCCTTATTATTTCTGCTCATCCTCAGCTCCTCAGCCTGAGCAGAACGAAGGAGATAGTGGAAGGAAAGGATGATCAATTATGAACTGTGAACTCCCCCTCAGTGGGGCTGTCTGACTGCCGGCTGTAGATAAAGCAGGGTTATGACAACCATACTGTGCCCCCTCATCCATAATAAACCACAGGGACGGAGAGCACTTTTACACGTACGGATGTTCGTTCTCCAAAGAACATGTAATAAAGGACTTTAGGTAAAGCAAAATATGATGGCTGCTCATCTATTTTAAAACACTCTGCTGCCGGGACTCCACAAAGACAGTTGTGTGAATTTTATTCCTACATTAGAACAGTCTGTGACCACGTTTCAATCTTGATGAGAAGAACTATGACATCGTGAAGTCAAAGACGGGGGCGTCACAGGCAAAGGAGAAGATAGAGGCCCATTATAGTTGGGATTCTTTGGTATATTTTGGAAGGCAGCTCAACATCCTCAATCTGCACACTAAACTGTATTTGCTGTCAACACTTTAACTATGCTAATGAAAACTCTGTTCTCTGTGATGACATTGCGTGCTGTGTCTTAGACTGTCAATTGGCATCCAGTTTTGCTTATTCGGCGTCCATTGGCTTTCAAATTTGCGGCGTGCCAAATCGAGCTCGCCTGATACTTTTGAATCTCAGATTTAAAAAAACAACTAAAAATGTTACCCTTCAGTGGAGGAATGTGAAACACTTATCCAGTGACAAACTTTGCATGGATACAAGTCAGTACAGTCGAGGTCAGACATTTTAGGGAGTTTAAATGAATAAAAAGAAGGGGATTGTATAATAAGCTATCTCTATTCCACCATGATTGTCTTCTCCTTCCTTCACATCCGCATGTCTGTTTTGCCTCCATCTCCCTTTTCATTTTCCACTTCACGACACATGTATTCAGCTCCACTTTCTTTCAAGCTATTTTGGCAAAATTACTGTTGAAAAACATTACGGTAAAAGCAGTTAGGCTTAATACCTGTGACTAGCGATCTGATTCTGGTTGGCTTGTTTTTTTAAATGTATTCATAAGAAACATTGAATGCCAATACTTCTACTTAGATAGCATTTGACGCAAGTATGTGTTGGGTATTGAAATGCGGGTGAAGGTATCTGCAAAGTTAACATTTTTAGAAAGTGCCATAGCATGTTTGCAGAGTGGAGATTAGCCGTTGAAATTTTTCCTTTTTTCTGTTCCACCTATGACCCAATTTAGTCTCCTTTCATTATATTCACTTTACTTACTGGTTCTTGCCGTATTTGAAATGACATCTTAAACTGTGGCGTGACATTTGGTTGAGAAGCAAGAGAGCGTGACAGCAAAATGCCAAAAGCATGAGAATTCACACACATGTGTGTCTATTCTACATGTGTGTCTAAAATATTAAAAACATATTATAAAAGATATTATATGCATAATTATCTTTCTATTTGTGTATTATCAACTGCAACTAAGAGTTGCTGTGTTTTTGTCATCATGAGAGCGAGTCCTCTACTATGTGTAACAGCTGTGTTTCTATCTTAGCCCATAGCAGACAAACCAAACACTCACTCTACTAGAGGGTCTTTCACATTTTCACCTTACGGTCACTTTAGTTCTTCAACAAACTTGGAAATGGATGGGGGAGCAAAGCGGTATTCGATTGGATGCAATTTGCAGCCTCACGACTGGATGCCACTAAATCACATATACTGCTCCTTTAAGACATGTGACTTGTGTCTTAATATGTGAATATTTGAGGTCAGAACATTTTATGTGACATAGACAAGGAGGCATTTTATTTAAAAACATGTATATGACCTACATCTGCAATAATAGAAAGGAAACATACTTCAGTGATGGGCTGCCATTGCTCAAACATACAGACGGAGGGAGCACTGGCCCGCCAGACGGCATTTGACCATTGAGTTCTCAAAGGAAGCAGGTAGAAAGTATCACAGGCGGCCTGCTGTCAGACACACACGAGGGCTGCAGGATGACGTGTCAGGCCTCCAAAACAGATAAGCAAAGAGCAACCATGCTGCCGGGATGCCCGGCGAGCGTTAGACAATACCAGATGCTTGACGGGAGGAGAAGCAGTCTATTGGACCGTTTAATCTGAATTCAGCCCACCAGCACCGCGCAGTTGAGTAATGATAGAGAACTTTGCCAAGAAAATATAAGACCACATTCTTTCATGGGAATGGAAAATCTCTGCATTTTAAAGTTTGGCATTTATTTCAATTAGCAGAGGAGACACATTTAAATGGCATAATAGGCCTTCTATGAAGCAGAGTAACTAATACAGAGTGAACAGATTATACCACCATCTACATTAAAGTGCAGAGGCTGGTCCCGTTCTTTCCTTTCACTCTCTGAATGTATTAGCATTTGGGGAAATGTAAAAAAATAAATTACCGGGGGGGTTGTCTGAGGGGATTGTGGCAATGCTGCTGCAGCCTCTCATCCATATCAAAGAGCAAAAATAAAAACCTTGATGTCACAAGCCTAACATCAGAAAAGAATGATTGGCTCTCCCTGCAGCTTTAATGCGTGTCAAGCATAGTAACATTGGTTTCAAACACAAATCATTTCTTTGCATATCTGAGCCAGTAAAAGCAATGCGGATCCTCGCAGCACTCGGCAGCATTAGAGGCGATGACTTGAAAATAGAACAGTGAGTGAGAAACTAAGGTTTGCCGTTCCACCTCCCGTTCATCTTTGGATGTGTGCATGGGTGTGTTTGCAGACTTGGGTTTGTACGAATCTGAGTTTACTGAGAAGTATATAACATGAGCTAAAGAAAATGATCAGTTTTCAGTCACTTTGTGAACTCTCAGTTCTCTTTCAGCTCTAATAAATCCAGAAAGCAAATTCAAAACAAATTGAATTTGAATTGACCTTGATTTGGATCGGAATATATGCTTATCCAAAGCAGTTCTTTCCAGGTCCCTTTGTCATCTCTGACGTTTTACAGTGGCTTTATCTCTAAAGAGTAATGAACATTATTCCAAGGGATGCAGCAGCTGGAGCTCACTATAATAAACTAAAAATAATAATTATTGGACCGACTGACTGAAAAAAGTCAACAACTTTATAATCTATACTCTATCCTTTAAATATCTAATACAACGAAGAGATTAGAGCGGTTCTATATATATTCCTGGTATAATTGAACCAATAAAGTGAATTAAAGGTTACAGGATCCATAAATCATTGCCTGTGCACTCACCTCGTTAATCAGGATCCAGTGACAATCGAAGGCCACCAGGTTGGTCTCCACCACCTGCAACGCAAAAAAAAGCACCCGTCACATTTCAGAGGAAAAATATCCTCTATGGTCTCATGTGTATCATTCTTTATCCACTTACACATATATTTCAAAGTGAATCTCTCAGTTCACTTTTGAACATGACGGCTCAACCTTGCTTTTCGACTTATGTCAGAAACACTTGTTTTTGCTGCCTGTCGATCGCACCCGGCCCTTTTTGTTGTGTCTCCTCACTTCTCAACCTCTCGCCTGTGCTGTCCTTTAATTGCCCCCCACCCCGTCCTCAGCTGTAAAGAAAATACAGAGCCACTCGTATATCATTTGCTGTAATTGTTTAGGTGGCTATTGCACCGTGTGTCATAAAACACTTTTTAGCCGTAAACAAGCGGCAACAGCTGGAGAGAGCTGCCAGAGCGTGTCTAATAGGGGATTAATCTCCCGCCGTGTTCATAAAGCTTCATCATTGTAACCTCAGCGGCTCCCGTAGAACACTTTGTCCACAGGAAACATGGCCACCACGCAGAGGAGCAGAAACGGAGGAAGAGAACAACTGGGATTGTGGCGCTTTTTGTTTCTATCTCTCTCCACTGGAGCGTTGGACAAACACAAGACACTAGAAAAAGAGGTTCGACATGCCGTTTTTTCCGTTCTGTATCTGTCTGCCTGGCTTGTTTTGTTCTCATCCCCTGGTGCTCATTAAGGTTACGATGAAAAGTAACTTTTGAAACATTTCAACTTCGTTTGTGAAAGCCGATCTCCATGTAAAATAATGTAAACGTGTGTTCTAAAGGTGTTTCGCATGAGGCAAGTGTCGGTTAGTGTTTCCCCTTCTCCCGTTGTTACCTCCCTCTGGCAGCCGTCTGGGCAGATGTTCCTAGCTAATTAGCGAAAGGGCAGACTCCTAACACTAGACGTGACTCCTCAGGGGTCGGAACCGTTCAATACACTCACTGTCTATCTGTATATCTCTCTCAGGCACACAAGCACAAATCTAACATCTCAAACTGCCTTGTTTGTGTGCATGCGTGGTCGTCCACACAAGCTAACAAACTACTAGCAGTCTTTTTTAGAAACCCAATGCCGACCCGGCAGGGCGCCGTCACTCACTTGGGTGTTGTTCCCTTAGTGCTTCCACACAGAGCCTCTTGACCTCCATGACAAGCATGACAGAAGCAGAGTTTCAGCTCCGTTCTCACGTTCTGACACCATTTCTGCAGTGGTTGACCAATCAAATTACTCAGTGCCAATATGATTGAGCCTTTTCTCAAAGTCTGAAAGCACCAGATTGAAATCAGACCGATCTGCACCCCGAAAATCACGTGTGGGTTTCATCGAGTGGAAGCCGTGCTGCCAAACACCATTTTGTTCTTGTACTGACCTCTGTCCAAATGTCACTCATGGAAGAGTCCGACAAAGAGAAAATCATTGATTCTGGCACACGCCTGCTGTTGGCTGACATTGAGGGTCAAGGTTTGCTACTCGAGCTGAGGCATGACTTGACAAGACAAGGGTCGATTCAACGATACCGTGCACACACATTTCATTCCCAGACACGCACATAAATATGCAAGCCACATCACACATGCATAGGCGCTATTATCCACTAGATGGTACACAGTGTGTTCATGCATATTGTTGTTTGTTTTTTCGTGTGTGAGAGTGTAAGAAATAGGAATTTAAAAGCATATTATTGCATAAGTACATTGTGGGGGAAGCTTGGAGGGGGGAGAGTGGGCGTTGCTATTGAGTAAATGGCTCTTAATTGAAAATTAGTTGTGTAATTTAATTTCATGCACTATTTGTGATTGAATCAAGCAAACAGCCTACAGCCCAGGCGCCGAACTCCGAAAGCTTCACACGCAAGGCCAAGATGTGAAGGCTCATTCGTTCAGATACAATTCTACCACTCCATTCACAGTCCAGACTCTTATGCGGTGTACACCACCGCAAAATTCATTTTATTTTCTCTGTTATACAGTTATGCACCAATCTATGTGAGGGAAAAAAGTGCTGTCTCTCCATATGTGCGTGGTAAGTTGAGGTGTTTGAGTTTGGTTCTACTAATAATAATAATAACAATCTATGTCGTGAAACAAGAGAAAAGCTGGACAAATATATCGGGAACCTTAAACTTTCTTTTGGTGAGGCACTCAAACTGTCAGGCGACTAAGGGGCAAAGAACCACTGCTTTATATTTTTAAAGGCTATATTCAACTTCATTAAAATCAGATTTCTATGACCCCACTTAAACTGTCCCATCTATCAATCAATGCGCTATGAAACCTCATTGGACCTTCCTCTTCCATTCCAGTCTCTCTTACCTAACGACAGAATCTTTCCCTTGGATGTCATAGAACCCAGTAAAACCTTTCCAATGCCACGCAAAAAAGAGAACAAACTTTTCACCTATAGAATGAAGCTGTAAGTGCATGCTAACTGATGCATTTTCAACAAAACTGCAGCATTTCACTTTTGCTGCTACTCCTCCAACTTGCCGCACACATGTGTGAACGCGGGACTTAATGTCAAGAGCGTGTGAGTGCGGAGAAATGATGTCAAGCGGAATGAGGCGCATTACGCTCCGAGGATTTCCATACTTTGCAGAGCAGCACTGAGCACTGATTGATGGCTCGCAAACCGGCAAATACAAATACCCGCATGCACAAGAAAGCACTCCACTGGCATGCATTCTGTTAGCACATTAGATGCTAAACTGCTAAACTAAAGGCTTTTGTTTATTCTTCAACTGCCATGTAGCAAGAAATACACCCTGCACTGAAAACACTTGATGAATAATCATGAAAAGAAAGAGTGATAGCTGCTTGTGACATAGAGACATTAACTCACCCAACACAAAAACAGGTACACACATTTGGGATGTTACAGCTGTGTCTGAGGGCCTAGTTCTGTTAGACACTGTATATGGACAATGCCGTTGTGTAGTACGACATGCTACTGCTGGACATGGCCAGGAGCAGCTACAAGCAAAACATATTCCCCCCCACTCAGAACTCAGAACAAACATACACAGCCAATCAAATCAAATGTTCATATATTTCTGGGATCTGAGGAGGACTTTAATTGAAAAGTCCTAATTTTGATGTCACTGCAATGAAATGGTTAATTGGTTAGTTGCAAATGTATACCCATGTCCACAACATCAATCATAGTTTTATTAGTTGTTATAATAAGCATTGGATTATGGCAAAAACATACAGTAACCCGCCCGTCCTTGAATAAAGATTTTCGTACACCTCTTTGAATATGTGATATTAGGGTTTCCCCCCAAAAATATTTTTAAAACACCAAAGGAAAATCTTAGTTAAGGAGAATCACCATGCAAAAAGTGATATTTGTTTGGGAATGTTTTAGAATACTGGTCTTGGATGCACTGGACCGTACCATGACATGAGTCAGAGGGGTGTCAAAGCCTTGTGTAATTCCTCCCAAAAACTAATGACTCCAAATCACCACAATCACCGTCTGTTTAATTAGACGGATTCAGCCGTTGTCACACACCAATGATCCACGCTCTTTGAACTTGTATGCTGGTGAGAAAAGCAGGGTTGAGAGACAAAGAGAGAGAGAAAGAAAGTAATGGAATACACCAGATAGTGTCCATGTGTGCAAGTGTGTTGACTTATGTGTGTGTGCTCTTTTTTGTGATTGGTAAAGAACATTCCCTCTTTGCAAACACCATCTGATAAAAGGCCCGATCCACATGAACACGCACAAATAACAAAGAGCCGCCACACTCAACAAAAGCCAGCAAACCTCATGTTGACAAGGCCTCACCGAGCCCACCAAGAGCATTATTGATCAATCATACACTTTCGGATGAAAAACATGCCGGAGAGGTCGGCGTGCTGCGCGCACCGATGGACCTTCAGGTGCTGCTGAAGGGCTACGGCCGAGGGGAGCCGCTCGAGTCCAACTTTGTTTTGTGTCGGTGCTGCAGAGAAGCCGTGTGCTAATTGGCTGGAGGGAGATCATGTTTCTGCTGCTGCTGAGATCATCCGTGTGTTGATCGAAACAAAGAGCTGTCATGTATGAAGCATGTTTTCTTTAAATAGTAAAATGCAGTTTTAACCCTAACCCTCTCCAATTTTCCTGGATGACATATAATAAAACGCTATGACAATGAAGGGCTTTGATACCATGTGTTGCGATGTCAAAGGGTAACAGGGCCAACATGCGAGACATCCATCATCCCTGAACTGGGTTTGAGTGTGTTTCTTTCTGTGTTTGCTCTATGTATGTGTGTACACAGAAGCACACAAGACTTGCGTGTGAGTGTGTGTTTCTGTGTGAATGTCAACCCTTCAGTTTATTGATCAGACCGCAAATCCACAGAGGCAAACACAAGAATGGACTTACAATTGCACATCTGCACCACAAGCAGCCCCAGCGAATATGACGATATGCAGCCTGACATTTAGATATAAACTGATCAATGGCTGGAACAAATAGAATAAGCGGTCTTTAGAGGCCTGAACACACAGTGTGTGTGTGTGTGGGTTTTTTATTTGAGTTTGCATGTTGATGAACCATATTAAATATCTAACCACCACCAACTTAAAGAATTTGAATTTAAGATCTAGAATAATAATATTACTATATACCATTATAATTTGTGTTGGAAGGCGTTTAGTGACTCAATGTAAGCAAACAAACAAATTATTTATTTGTAGATACGTTTACAATACAACTAATTCATAAGCCACTATCCTCAACTATATATGACTCTTCCATTCGATGCATATCCTGCAATAGTGGGATTTATATTAATTGTACAATGTATGATGAGCAAGAATATTTGACAAACGAACAGAAAAACATATTTACAGTACATAATTAAATTGGCCTTTGTAAAAAATGTTTAGAAAATAAAAGCGGCAAGAACGAGGAAAACACCCAGCGTCAGCTCAATGACCCAGTTGGATGAAAGTCTTGTCAGTTCTGAGAAAAGCAGGGCAGAAGAGAGCAGAACAAAGGTAAATTAAAAGACTGACCCC